TCTTAAGTGTTTATTTTTGCTTATCTGGCATCAAAGTCTAATGTTGTTTGTGATGTTTCTATATGATGTATTAATAACTAATCAAATGTAAAAAATCTGACAGATCTTTCTTGTTCTTCTGCGTTCGGTGCTCTTGATAAGATAACGAAGTGCTGAAGTTCAAAGCCAGTAATCACTGGGACCGTTTTGAACATGTTTGGTTTTCTGACAGAGGAAGAAATGTGGATGTATCGTGGTTTGTGTTGAGAGCTGAGAACGCAGCCGATGGCCGGGTTTGCATTTAATCATTTGAAGTTTGAGTTTTTGTTCATAAGAACAAGCCGTACTTCGCTCACCCAAGATGAAATATGCTCTAATGGACAATAGCTGCAAGAAATTTACCATCAGATGATAAAGACAAAGGTTTCTGCACAGTCAGAGCAGTTCAAAACCAAGCATCCCCTTTGATTAGATACAGGTTATAAGAGCATCTATTTTTAATTGAGTCATGATTTCCTCTATGACTTGTGGTCATATTGCTTCAGTTCATTGGTGATGCAGGTTTTTATTCCAGGAGCCTCAAAATCGGCTTTAGAAGAATTCGGCCCGCAGCGTTTTTGTTCTGTGACTGCACACCGAGCCCCAGTCGTCGCCGTGCTTCACACTCGCTATGAGAGTTTCTCCAAACATGATGATCTGCATTTTAGGCAAAACTGTCTGCCTCGCTGTTGTCTTTCCAAAGTACGCGAGGACGTCTTGTCGCTCGTTCAGGTGCAAATCGAACTCGTGCTGTCGTTATCTGTACCGAGAAGAGAATTGCTGCCTTCAACCCTTCAAAACAAAGTGTACCTTTTGAGTCTTTTTCAAATCACACGGCTGTCGGTCACATTCTGAGACCTGTGGAGTCTGAGATCTCGCTGTTGGTTATTTTGCGATTACTCCAGGTGTTGCAGAGCCCAACCTTTGCTGGGACATACTTCCCTGGAGGACAGAGGGAGGGAAGTTGCTTCGCTAACACAGAGTTGGTGGGTCCGGGGGGCTAGAGCCCAACTTCAAAAGGAGGAGAACAACATGCCAAATAGAGTAATAGGAAATCCATGTCTACATCCTGTCATTGAACGCATCGATGCATGTAAACAGCAGACTGTCAAATTGAACAAGCTTGTCATTTAAGAAATGCCTTTGCTGATGATAGTCATGTGACATGATTCTGCGTTCACATCAATCAGGTCTTTAAAATGCTGCAAGCAGCCAGGTTATAACTTCGCTTGCTAACTAGCTCCATATTATTTATTAGAAATAAAAAGACTGTCATAAACATAACGTAACATCTATCATGAACATGAAGGAGTCTTCATGAATGAGTACAGCTGTCATCATGAAGCGTCATTCGGCAAATAATGACACTTTTAATGCAAAGTTGCATTAAAAGTCCATTAAATGTGTCAATGTTGCATTAAAAGTGTCAGAATTTACAAGATGATACCAAATGACAACAGTCGTAAACATTCATGAAAACTCCTTCTTGTTCATAACAGATGCTACGTTTGTGTCAGTGTGATGCCAGTCTTATTCACACTCCTTCTAATAAAGTTTTATCAGAACAGCTTTTTTCATGGTAGTTTATTAAAAGGTGAAAAGTGTCCGACTGGACGTCGAGTCAAAGTGATCGTCTCTAGATGGGGTCACAGATATAGTTTGTTGTATATTCATTGCATTTTGCTCATACTTTTCAGTGGAGCAGGACTAGGGTTAGGGCTATTAATAGAAAGGGTTAGGGTTGTTATGAATTACCTTTCTATCTGTAGAATGATAAGCTTCGAATACAGAGGCTCTGAAACACCTTTTTATCCATTTCCAGATTGAATAGCAGCAGTAATTGTTTCCCTAAGGTCACTGCTACTATTCTTCCCTCTTGGCATTGTGTCAACGCACTCGGTAGTCCAGAGCAGTCAGTTTCCAAACCCCCTGGCTTTTGCAGAGCTTGTCGCACTGTTGTTAGTCGGTTAAGCTGCATTTGATTACCAGTTGTCACAATCGATCTCGACTCTTTCTTTTTGAAACATATAATTGTTTTTGTTAGCTCTGAAAATGGTTCCCACTGTGGCTCATCTGATTTATTTTGTTAAACATCGACTGTCTGCTGCGTCTGTCTCCCCCGTCTTCTGACTTCGACACTCAAGTCTCTTTAGTTCTCAGATACTTTGACACACAAACCTATTTTGCTTCTGGATCAGCTTTCAGATCCCACCACCTTATTAAAATGTGCTGTGGTTTAATGAACACGGAGTCATTTGTGACTATATCTCTATTCTCGGTCTTACACACATGAAGTTTTGGGTTATGATTTGAGTCCAGAGTGGATTCACACCGGCAGGCGTTGACTGGTAAACTGAGTGTTAACTCGGCTGCCCTTTTAAGAACCAAAGATATTCCACTGACACTATTTTGCACCGCTAGGGTCTCAAGGACCACCCGAGTGTTCCCATGCCAACTGGCACCGCTACAGCTCCAAAGGCAGCCGGTTCAAGTTTAAGCATTAACACTTGGAGTAATACATTCATCTGCTAGGGAAGTACTTTCTCACACTGTCTGTGTGCACCTACACCCAGAAGACACACACACACAGACACACACGTATTCCTAAGCCACGTTTGTGTCCTTAAGCCTTGCTTCTCCAGCTGCACCACAAGAGACCTGTCTAAGTGACAACAATTAGCTCGCTCAGTTCAAGCTAATTGAAGTCATTTGCATAATACATGTCCGCCATCACAATTAATCTCTGGACAATTCAAGCAGTTCTGTCACGCAGCAATCAGCCGTAACATTATGACCACTGACAAGTGGAGCAGAGTATTGCTGATTATGCCGTCATTGTGGAACCTGTCAACAAGAGTGATGTTGTGTCATCAATCTTGGTAATTTAGAAATAGAGAAAATGGCCAAGTGTAAAGATTTGAGAGAGTTCAAAAAGGGCCACGTGACTAAATGATTGGGTTGGTGCATTTTTTTGACTGAGGTGATCAATATTCATAAAAAGTGGTCAGAGGTCACAGGTCTCTCATTGTCATTCTGCCTAATAAACAAGCACGAGTTTCTCAAATTACCCAAGAGGTTAGTGCCGGTTCTGGTAGAAAAAAAACATTGGGTCATGTCAATTTATACGGATGTTATTGTCATTTTGCCTATCTAAGCATTTCTGACCATTTAATTAAAGCTGTAATCCCTTGTGGCTGGTAACTACTAAACTATTGGTTTAGTAGTTTGATAACAAAAAGTTGGCAAATGGTTCAAGGATCAGAAGGTGTTTGGACTACAACTTACCAATATTTCAGTCTAATAGAGCATCTCTCATTAGATGATCAGGATTGGTTTTGGCAGGAAAAGTTGAACCAACATACTATTGGTGGTTTTATTATGTCTGATCGCTATACTGTCACATCCATTCATTCTCAACCCCTGTTACCGATGTTTGATCCCAAAAACAAAGCGATGATTTCAAACGCCATCAACAGCCAAAGAGACACTGCTTGTCTGCGTGTGTGTACATTTGTTTATAATACCTTGTGGGGAACATTTTACTGAGACATACTACATTGTGGGGACCGAAGCCTGGTCCCCACAAGGGGAATCCCCGTTTTTAGGTCGGGGGTCAGATTTAGGATTAAGGTGCGAATTGAGTTTTGGTGAGGGTTAGAATAGGGGTAAGGTTTAGGCTGTAGAAATTAATGGGCGTCAACGGAAAGTCACCTCAAAGATAGAAATGCAAACATGTTGGTGTGTGTGTCTGTTTTCACTCCTTTAAATAAAAATACGGATTGCGAACTCGCAAACAGATGCACACATCCTGGGAACTGTATTTACCATCCGTCGCCATTACGCCTCCAATTACTCAGCGGCTGAAAACAAGCAGCCTCGTATGTGGGATGCAAAGCCTCGCCTTTATTAGCCTGTTGTTTTTGGAGCTGCCTTTTGATAGGAAGCTGAGCAATAAATTAAATAGATGGCTTGATAAAATGCTTGCCATGCAGAATTCTTCACGCCGGATTTTTGAGAAATCATGCTGCCGCAGCTCATAACGGGCGGCGTGTTTCCCAGGGTGATTTATGAAATCAATTTGTCTTGTTATCAGCAGCCAGAGTTCGTCAGATAACATCAGAGCATGTGCATCCACATTTCTTGGGGGTAGAAAGAAACAAGGGACAGAATGTGCCTTTTTTGTTGTTGTTGTTTGTTTGTTTGTATCAGGCATGTTGAAAATACCAATCAGTCATTTGGCGCGTCGATGTCGAAGTTGTGCTGTGAAGCGTGTAAAAAAAGAATGAAGCAGAGAGTTGATTAAATCCTGTAACAGAATGAAAGGAGTTTCTGTCTGAGACGGTCGGTTCTCTCTGGTGCTTTGTGTGCTGCAGTGGCATATTTCTGCGCACCGACTTCATCTGCGCCTCTCTCCCAGCCGATCACTCATATGTGAAGTGGAAAGGCAGGAAACACCTTCACATCCGGACATCTGGTTACAGAAATAGCAATTTGTGTGAGCGCATGCAAACGCGAGATTCCTTACAGCTCCCCTTTCTTTTGGGTCAGTGAAGCAGAACCTTCAGAAATGTCATTCCAGACCTACATGCGCATTGTGCTGTATCTGGTCACTCACCCTAATGTGCTTCTTGACCATCTCTTCATGCTCTCCCTGGGGAGCTGGGGAAAATAGCATTTTCTACCTCTGTGTCCAACTTGGAGGAAAAAAAAAGGAGTTATATGGGGAAAAAGTATTAGGTTTCTCTCTGTGTTCAGGAGGAGATAAGCAGTCTGTTTTGCCCAAAAACGTCAAAGCGGCGAATCTGAAGTGACAGCACAAGGGATGAGATATTTCAAGATATGTCTTGATGGATGCGGTTTAATCTTAAGCCTGCCAGATGTGTCAAGGATTTGCGAACACCTTGCGGAGTAAATCTCAGCTCGTCGCCTCTTTCTCATCATGTACCTCCGCTCTCTCTCTCTCTCTCTGTCTGCCTCTGCAGTGAAGTTTGAGGATTGCCAACACAGCAGAGAGGTGGGCTTTGTCAGCAGCGACCCCAACTTCAGCGTGAGACCCGACGGGAGTGTGTACACGGAGCAGGAAGTAGCCAACCTCTCCGAGCCCGTCCAGTTCATGGTGACAGCGCGGGGACTGCACGACCCGCACATCTGGGAGACCACCGTGAAGCTGGCCCTTGCCGGACATCTTCACCCTCTACCGCTGACAAAGGTACAATGGGCAATGGTAGCATAACTGTTGACTTGATATTTGTCTATTTGTTGGTGTAATTTATCTTTTGTGTAGGTGTAAATTGTCTCCTTTTCACAAAGTGACAGCGTCTTTTAGACCTGTAGGAAACCCATGTGGCCTTCTATGGTCAAACACGGCTTACAATAATGTTTATTGAACCATGACTGGAAGCAGATTGAAGATGAGGAATGATCAATCAATTAATCAATTGAGTTTATTTATATAACACAGCAAGTCAGTTGAAAGTGCTTTACATCATAAAATCACAGAAAATACAAAGTCATAGAACACAGTCAACAATTACAATTTGTCTAGTGAGATTACATTAAGATGTCGATAAGATAATTTATTAGTCTCCCGTTAGAGAAATTTGTCTAGGAAGCAGGAGCAAAACTACAGCACATCCAAAAAAAGACAATAGCCATAAAGACATAATAGTAAAAATACATTAAAACACAAACGTCAGATCAGCAGTACAATCCCCAAAACCGTTTCTATACACATACAATACATCCTCTACATGCCACTCTTAATCACCATCTGGGCCTCCTGCTAGTCTGCATAGGCCCTGCTAGCCTGCCATTTATCAGGCTGATGGAGAGAGGTACAAACGAATGTTTCAGACCATTCATTTGTCATTTCTAATGTTTCAAAAACAACTCCAAAATTTTTAGCCTAATAATCTAGTCTTTTTAACCTAGATTTAGACTAAACTGCTTTACAGTTTTCCAGAGGTTTGTTCCAGGTTTGTGGTTCGTAGAAGCTGAATGCTGCTTCTCTGGGTCTGGTTCTGGGGGATGCAAAGCAGAGCAGAGCAGAACCAGAACCAGAAGACCTGGGAGGTCTGGAAGGTTGATAGAACAACAGTAGATCTTTAATGTATTTTGGTGCCAAGACATTCAGTGATTTGTAAACTAACCACAGTATTTTAAAGTTTATTCTCTGAATGTAGTAGAGCCAGTGCAGGGACTTTAGAACTGGGGAGATGTTCTGGTTTTAGTGGGAACTCGAGCAGCAGCGTTCTGGATCACATCATTGTCGTCATCAAAGAGCCTTGAAAGTCTGTTTGTTAGCACGAGAAAGCTCATATTACCCAGCACTGAGTCCAAAATGGTATGCAGTAAACTGAATGTTGCTCTCTGCTCTTAGGAAAGTCACTCTGCTATTTCAAATCTTAAGTCGCAATCTTAGAATAAATAATCATGTGGAACGATTGGTGGACAAGTCAAGAAAATCCAAGAAGGACGGCCGTGCTTCAATGTAACGGATGGAAGGTGTTATCTAAAGAAGGCTGAACTGTGACAGTGAATATGATGCTTTTACAAAAGGTCTAGACTCAGAGGTCTAGACTCTTCTGCAAACATGTTGTCACACCTCTGAATGTTCTACATGTCTTTGAGTTGGGATTTGCTGAGAAACTGTTAATAGATGTTACAAGATCCTTACAAAAGATTTAGCGTCGTATATATATTTTTCCTTTTTCCAATAAACACCTGCTGTTTTTTTGGGGGGTTTTTTAGAGAAAAGCGGTGTGCTATGCTTTGGAGAGCCGCCTCACAATTAATTTTCGTTCAACACCGTCGTTTCATCGTCTCGTTCCTTTTAAAAGCCGGAGCGACAGGTTGCGAGCGTTACGGTGACTGGCACTCAAAGCTTCTTCTTTCTAATGAGCCAGCAAACGGTGATTACAGATCTCTGTTTAAGTCTCCAGCCTTAATTACTTACATTTGATGAAAGTTAAACTTAATTAAATTTGATTGAAAAAATTTTGTAAAAGAGTGTGGATTTGAGGAGCAGACTTGTGACCCTGATTGGATGCGATTCATTTTGTGAAGGAACGATGAAAGCGTCTTCCTGATTGAGTGCTTAATCAGAAAGTTAAGCCACAGAATACCGATTCCCGTTGAAAGATTCAGAAAAGATGAACGTGGTGGAAAAAAAAAAATCAAAACTACTCCATATTGAAATTTTGCAGAGATTTTCTTTGAATACTTGAGCTTTTTTGAAATTGGACTGTTTCGTCCTTCATTATCACAATCACGCTCCATTCATAAACACCGTAAATGTTCTGAAATGGATTTTTGTTTTTTTGTCGTCTTATATCTGTAATGAGTTGAACTGCAAGAATACTTTTCTTCATTTTTCTGTTCCTAGCCTAAACCCGCCACCATGCTAAGTAAACACAGCCTCAGTTAGAGGCGTCTCAATCCCACCAAGCCCTGCGCTGAGTGACAAATCCCTTGTCATTCGATTCCCGGACTACTTGTTGAAAGCCATTGGGCGAAATGTTCCCTCACGTTTCTAATCATGACGAAAAGCCCGGCCGGGACTCGTGTAACTGAAGCAGTCGCAGAGAGAAGGAGAGAGAGAGAGGAAGAGGATTATAATTCTGCCCACTCCTGCGGGCGCAATAATGGAGACTGGGAAATAATTGACATTGATTGAGCTAATGTTCCACTCTGGTAGAGTCTGCAAAGACCAGGTGATGTAGTTTCACTGTATAATTATGTTTCACACATTGCGGAGCAAGAGAAAGATTCAATAATTGAGAGAGGCTGGGTGGGGCGGAGGGAAAGGTGTTGTTTTTGATGACATCAATAGCTGAAAATGAGTTTGTGCATGTAAGGCGCATCAGTTCTTTTCGCCGCCGTGGTGTTTACGTGTTCTCACGTCGCTTTCAACAGATTTTTTTTTTTGTTGGTTAATAGCTAAAGTAAGGCTGAACTACAAATTTGCTCATAAAAGTGATAATAAGATATTATAGGAAATAACTAATTTGATCCAATGGATGGGGACTTCTGCATTTTGAGTCTTGAATTTTGACTTATCTGGTATTTTTTGTATTTAACTCTGACCACTTATTGGTCTATTCATTCTCTTGATTGTACCCATCTGGTGATTGTGTCACAATCACATCTTTATCAGTATTTAAGCTCCCAAACTTCCAATACTTGTCGCTGTGCTTGGGTATATTTTGTATTTTCTTTATGTTTTCATTCGGTTTTACATTGAACTCTCATCAGCGCTTTCCTCATTGATTAATAAAACTCGATATCATTACATTACATATGGAAACCAAAAACTATATATATATATATATATATATATATATATATATATATATATATATATATATATATATATATATATATATATATTCTCTGCTACAAACTCTGTAGTCTATTTTCTAAAAAACAAAAATTATATTTTTTATAAAGAAAGGGTTTTCATTTTTACATAAGTCAACATTTTAAAGAATTTTCCTACTTTCAAAAATAGAGTTTTGGTGAGCATTGCTTGAAGAGCTCTAACTTAGCTTCACCTTCAGTTTCGGCAGAACGGTTTTGGACCGACATGCATACGGTGCTTTGCAGGATGCAAAACTTTGGCAAAGTATTCATATGCTGTTGAATTTTATATATATATGATTTTATATGTAAAAAACACAAACAGATTTTTTTAGGGGTTTCCATCCAGTGGGGCATTGACCCTTTATACATACGATTAGAGCTTTAGTGGAATAGTTTAGATCAAACCATATTTATTGGTCGAATGATCAAGTCATTTAGACCAAATCTAAATGGGAATCTGAAGCAAAGCTTGGCCATTACTGTCCACGCCTCTAATGTAACCCAATAGGTTTTTAAGGAGTATGAAGACTTCTTTAAGGCATTGTGATTGTCAAAACAGTGTTTGCTTGTTAAGGTTTGCCTATAATTTGATTTTTTTGTTTGTTTGTTTGTTTTGCCATATGTGTGGCTTTGACTTTACGACGCCAGACATTAAGCTTAAACTACAAACCCATGTTTCTGTATTACCCTACATGGTATTCAGACATTAATTCTTCAGATTTGGGATGACTTGGTTTCCTCTTACAAACCATGATACACTTAGCTCTCTGAATGAACTGGCTTTTGCTCCATAATGTATGTTTCTCTTGCTGTGCGTGTTTTGCTGTGCAGCAGCAGTGAGAGGGAACTAATTTGCTTTTAATAACCGACTCAATATCTCCCAGTTGTTTCAGAAGCAGAAATTAGCATACTTTGAATGTGTACCACTAGGTGATTTTTTTTTTTAGCATTTAATTTTCCAGCATTTGAAGTGTGAAGCATCTTTGGCTGAAAGCCCTTCGCGCTGTGTTTATGTACTCGGGCTATCACACCTCGTGCAGGTAGGTTCCTCTCGTGGAGAGCTCTCCAACTCGGGCTGATTTCATGGCTCGGCTGTTTGCCGCCTCCACCAGATCAGAGCCCCCTTCGGTTATGCACTGATGAGTTTGGAGTCCGCCGGTTTGCCCAAACAGGTTTGAGTGCTCATCCAATTAGCATTTTCCACTGCGCTCCACCCAAGCAGCCTCTCCTGTTCGGGGTAGATTACGACAACGGTTGTTGGGCTGGAACGCGGGACCCCGGGGTCTGTCGGTCATCGGAAATGGAGCCGCAGCAAAAGTGCTCTGAACGGCAAACTTTTAGACCGCGTTTAGAGACTACGATGGAAAGCGGAGGGTCTCGACAGGAAAACAGTATCAACAACTTTAAAACATTTTTCTGTCACCGTTTGATTTCAGTGTTGGAAACTTTTTCTCTTTTTTCCCTCGTCTTGCCTGTTGCTAAAGGATCTCGCGAGGGACGTTCTTCTTACTGAAGACTTTCACTGTGATCTGATTCAGCTGATGGCTCTTCAGTAGCAAAAAAATAAAAACATAAAAGAAGACATGCCGAACAGAGAATTGGCAGGGAGAACACGTTTATTGTGTTGCTATGCCTGTTTGTCAGACAGATAACCTCCAGATGTCTGCTCCGGGGCTCTGGGCGCTCAGGCCCTGCGACTGCCATGCAGCAGCAGCAGTGTGCAGGGATGCTTGGGAACTGAGAGACGGCAGCTGGCTGTTCATGCCTTTAGGGTTCAAGGGCCCCCAGCAGGCCGAGGAGACGCACACGCTGATACAAGAACACGCTGTTCTTGTATCATGTATGCAA